GGGCGGGCAGGTGACCCTTTCTGCTGGGGGGAGGACACGGCGTGGTCGCACGTTCGCGTCCCCAGCTGCCGCTCCCCACTGGGAGGGCGATGATTCCGGCAGCCCGATAAGGGAAGGGAAGGGAAGCCCCAGCGGGCGTCCGCCCCAGGGGCGGCAGAGCACCCGCAGAGGTGGGCAAAGGCGTGGGAGCAAGTAGGGTTTCTCCGTGAGTGGAGCCTCAGCTCCTCACTAACTCACTTCTCTGCTTTTGTGGTTTTTGTTGTTGTTACTGGGTTAGGGGGGCGTGGGGTGTCGGTCGCACCGTGGAGTCAAGGGTGGAGGCAGGTGCGGGGATGGCAGGGGTGCGCGACACGCCCGGCCCTCGGCCTCGCGTATGGGATGAACCTGGGCGCGCGGGTGTGAAGGAAAAGCCAGCTGGGCGTCGGCCGAAGAGGTTGGGGGAGCGCAGTCCCGAGGCAGGAGGGTCACCGATCACGAGAGTTCGAGGTCGCCTGGGCTACGTAGTGAGACCCTGTCTCAGAAAACCCAAATAAATAAACAAATAAAACTAGAGAAAGGGGGTTGGCAAGGCATTTGGTGCCCACCTGCAGCTCTTGCCCTTTCGTGGCCTCACGGCTGGGCTGAGCGCGCGTGGCTGGGTTATGGTCCCTGGAACACCTGCCGGCTGTGTGCCTTGTGGCTGGGCAGCGGGTTGCCCGGAGCTGCACCCTCAGACCTGGTCTCCTAGCAACAAGTGTGGGCGAGCTGACTGGCCAGGCTGAGAGACTCGGCTGTCACCGTCACTGGGGAGGGGCTGACTGGACCCTGCCTAGGGAAACGCAGAGAAATGCCTGCCTTTGAGCTTCAAGTAAATACAGTTATACAATATATGCTCTGGGGTCTAGTTTCTTCCACTCAACAAAATATCTATCGTAGCACACACCTGTCATCCCAGCACTCGGGAGGCTGAGGCAGGAGGATTGCCGAGAGTTTGAGGCCAGCACATGCTCCATAGTGAGTTCAAGGCCAGGCTGAACTACGTAGTGAGACCCTGTCTCAAAAACAAAATAAAAAAGGGCCTTGAAAACTCAAGGATCTGAGTTCGATCCCCGGTGTGAAAAAATAAAAATAAGTAAAAAGGTGTGGGGATGTGGCTCAGTGATACAGTGCTTGTCCAGCGTGCTCAAGGCCCAGTTCTCAATCCTCACTACCACACACACACACACACACACACACAAAGGCCATATAAATTCCCAGTCCCCACCAAAAACTGTCCGTGTCCCTCGGTGCCTGCCTTGGTCTGCAACACCAGCCCCCTCCCCCAACTCCAGTCTCCCCCACCAGGGGCCGAGTCCTGGGCGAGACAAAGCAGGCAGAAGCCGGGGAACCTGACCCCATACAGCGCCCCTCCAGAAGCTGCTGCACCGGCTCCTCTGGGTCCCCTGGCCGAGCAGAGGTGCAGGTCGCTGGGCCTCACCCCTGGCAGGGTCACCCCTCTCCCACATCTGCCCCCAGGACGCTGTTCCCCGCCCCGAGCAGATGCTGTGCAGGCTCCCAACACGCTCTGCCTTGGTGCCTCTCGGTATCTGTCCTCTTCTCCTTTTGAAACTAAATTCCAACAGGAAGCCTTCCTTTGTTTTGTGTTTTTTTGTTTTGGGGTTTTTTTTTTGTTTTTTTTTTTTTTTTTTTTTTTTTTTTTTGGTTATTTATTTGAGTCAGGGTCTCACTGAGTAGTTGAGACTGACCTAGAACTCACTGTGTAGCCCAGGCTGGTCTCGAACTCACAGTGATCCTCCTGCCTCAGCCTCCTGTGTGCTGGGATTACAGACATGCACCACCCCACCCAGCCTTTCTTTGTTTCTTGAACCAGCGTCTTCCCATGCAGCTGGCTTTAAACTCAGCCACGCTCCTGACTCAGCCTCCTCATGGCTGTGACCCAGCATGCGCTACCACCCGGCCTCTCCCGCTGCCTCAGGGCCCACACTCTCCTACTGCCTTCCCATCAAAACTGCCGCCTCCTGACGCCCGTCGGTCCCTAATCTACGGCCCAGGGAGCCAGAGCCTCCCCACTAGGGGTGGCCCGGGTGTAGGAGCCTCCTGGGAACCCTCACACCGGGATCGCCCTGAGGTCTTGGCAGATAAACGTCACCCCCACTGGCGAAGCTCCGGGGCCCACAGGAAGGGGGGGCAGGACAAAGCAGGGTGTGAGAGCCCTCGGCAGGGACCCTGTGGCCCTTGCTATGTTCCCTTTCCTCGAGGGCCGGGGGACTCCAGCAGTGGCCGCCTCCAGCCAACATTAAATGCAGTAGGCCAGCTGGCGTGAACACTGTGATCCCAGCCCTGGGAGGCTGAGGCAGGAGGATCACTGCGAGTTTGATGCCAGCCTAGACTACATGCCAGCCTGTCTCAAAAACAAAAAAACAACCATGCATTTACATACCACATAAAATGTAGTTTATACGATAACCTTAACCAAGTAGAGTTGCAGTTGATGAGCTGGTACTTTGTTTTGAAATTTTTACTAAATGATTATTCAATTCCACATTGCTTTTTTGTTTTGATTTGGAGACAGGGTCTCTCTATTAGTTCAGGCTTGCCTTGGACTCATTATGTAGCCCAGACCGGTCTGGAACTCTTGGCAGTCCTCCTGCCTCAGCCTCCCCAGTTCTGGGATTAGAAGTGTTCACCCCCACACCTGGCTCTATAGTGTTCTTTTTTCCTTTTGAAATGAATAATGTTTACTAGTTTCAGTCGTAGTCTGCGGGCCCTGAGAGGTGAGGGAGCTGTGCTGCCTAAGGCACCTTGGTTAGATGCCCCAGTCCGGGGCCTGTGGACTGCAGAGCCATCTGGACTCTTGACGCATATTCCACCGCCCACCCGCGCATCCACCCGCCAGGCCTGGTGGCGAAGCTGCTTGGCGCAAGGGAGGTCTCGAGATGGACCGCCCGCCTGTGCTGGCCCAGCCTGCGCGCTCTGCCCCGGCAGCAGAGGTAGGTGTGCGTCGGAGTGCGAGGGCCTCCGAGGTTGGCTATGAGTTTTCCAGGCAACGCCCAAGAGGAAAAGCGACCCAGACGGGTCTGTGGTCCCAGATCCCAGGCGCCGTGGGGGAGTGGGGCCGGAAGACCAGAAAATTCGCACACGGAACCGAGAAGGAAGCAAGAGTACCGACTAGAAAGGCGTGAGGTCTTGGTTGTTGGGACAAGTGCGCCGCTTCATCGGTGCTCGGCGTCTAGGGCGGCAAACGGCAAAGGACTTTACACTGTAGAAGGGACAGGAGGGTAAAGGGTACACAACGATGGTCACACTTGTGCTAAAATAGAGCTGGGTGTCAGAGCAGCGGGATGGCCCACCCGTGATCGGGAGGCTGGGCGGGACAACCGCCGCGAGTGTGAGACCAGCCTGGACCACACCGCGAGATCTTGGCTCGAAAAACAACCACAGAAGCAGAAACCCAACCTCGGGTCTCTGTCGCCCGTGGAGCGCCCTCTGCTGGAGAAATGTGGAACTGCCCCGCTTTTAAAGAATCCACAGAGCTGCGCTCTTCACTGTCTACAGCAAGCCCAAGGCCTTACCCTGTGGTTCCGGGGAGGAATCGGCACCACGAGCGGAACCGGCGGGCAGGTCCAGCTCGAATCTCTACCAGGTCTAGGAATCAGCAAAGAAAGGCAAGAGTGGGCTAGGGATTTAACTCAGGGGTTCTGCTGCCTGCCTCTCAAGAGCAAGGACCTGCGTTAGATCCCCAGGAGAGAGAGAGAGAGAGAGACAGAGAGAGAGAGAGGGAGGGAGGGAGGGAGAGATCACTGTCTCTGAGGTTGCTGGAGGTCATGTTAGGCCGTCTCAGGACACAGGTGTGCCTGGCAGCAGACCTTTGGGGCGTCCTGGATTAGCCTGCGCCTCTCTAGATTCCCGCCCCCATTTCTGGGGTGAAGGCTAAAGTCACATTGGAAAGTTTGTGTTTTTATCTCGAAATGCATGGTTTTGAATGTTGAGTTTGAGATTTCATTGCACTGTGAGAAAGAGTGTGGTCTGCCTGATATTGATTCTTTGGTGTTTATTAAAGCGTGTGTGTCTCAGTTTTTTCAAAGGTCCCCCGTGTGTTGGAAAAGAATGTGTACTTTCTAACTGCTGAGTGCAGGGCGCTGCATACGTTCAGTAGAGGATTGCCCAGGACAGTGGCAAACGCCTGTCATCCCCGCCCTGTGAGGCTGAGGCAGGAGGATCGCCGTGAGCTCAAACCACACACACACACACACACACACACACACACACACACACACACATTAAAAATCATTTGATCTCCCATTTTCTTTTCTTGTTTGTTTGAGACAGAGTCTTGCTATGTAGCGCAAACTGGCCTTGAACTCACTACATAG